TCCCTTTTTTTCGCTTCCAGGTATACTTTCCTCTGGAATAACCTTCCAATAAATATAAGATCTTCAGAAAATCTACACACCTTTAAGAGAAGGCTACGCCTTTATCTGAATACTGACTCGATCAAACTTTTATTTTCCTCATTCTTCCCAGACAACTTTTTCTATGACACTGAGAAAGGGCCACCGGGAATTTAGCATGCCGCTATTAAATTTCCGTATCTGTTCACGTTTCCTTTCTTTATGAGTAGTCTCGCTACCTAAGATCACTCACCAGAAATGTTAATTATTCCAATTTTTTAGTTCATGCATCGTGCCCTCACAGAATGCGCGCCATCGACGCTCTTGGCGAAACCTTCTGTATTCGCCATATACTAGTTTTTGGTCGCATCTCCCTTCCCCCATCCTCGGTTGGACTCGGATGAATGTAATCGACCGCATCTGGGTTCCTATTGCCTCGAGACTGATCTTCATGATGCCCTCACTGAATGCGCTCCATCGATGCTCTTGGCGAATCCTTCTATATTAGCCATATACTAGTAATCTGGTCGCATCTCCTTTGCCCTATCCTCGGATGGACTCTGATGAGTGTAACAGACCGCATCTGGGTTCCTGTCGCCTCGAGACTGGTTGGCATCGTGCCCTTACTGAATGCGCTCCATCGGCGGTCTTGACAAAGTCTTCTATATTCGCCATATACTAGTAGTCTGGTCGCATCTCCCTTCCCCCCATGTTCCACCCATGTTCGGATGGACTCGGTTGAATGAAACCGACCGCATCTGGGTTCTTGTCGCCTCGTGACAGGTTGTCATCATGCCCTTACAGAATGCGCTCCATCTGCGGTCTTGACAAAGCCTTCTATATTCGCCATATACTAGTAGTCTGGTCGCATCTCCCCACATGTTCGGATGGACTCGGTTGAATGAAACTGACCGCATCTGGGTTCCTATCGGCTTGAGACTGGTTTTCAATTTCGCCAATTATTTTTCTTATTCAAGGCGATACAGGCCAGTCCTGACCGACCCGCCTACGTACCATTTTATGAAATCCGTTACACAATGCCATATACAGCTGACATTTATTTCGGCCATGTTGATGTCGGACTATATTCCATTTTGTACCACCACATGCAGGCCAGTCCTCCCTGTTTTTTTCTGATGCTATTTTTCCGAGGGGTTTTTTTTCTCCTGTTAAATTACTACAATCATTTTTAAAATTTGCTTTGGAGTTTTTTTTCACCCCTCGTTTTTTTCATTTTCATTTTGCTTAACGGACTTCTAATCTCAAAAACTATGCGTTGCACATTGTGCAGATTTTGCCTACATCGTCTAAAATTTGCATGTAAATTTATTTTTACTTGCTTTGATGGGACCCCGACGGGTCTTTAATAAAATAATTGAATTGAATTGAATGGGGTCTCTATTCTCACGTAAACCTACTGCTTCTCAGTCTAATGCTCCCCAACTCGGTCGTAATACAAGTGGCCGTAAGGTTTCAGCTTCTCCTACTCCTGCGACATCTGACTCCCTCCTTCCTCTTTCTCCTACCTCTCCATCCCACTCAAGGCACTTGACGCATTTGCCTGCCCCTAAACTTGCAACAGCAGCACCATTTGTAGTTTCGTATCCTCCGGATAGTCCCGCTGAGACACATAAAAATCCGTCTACATCAGCTAGACAGATAACTTCTATTGTCCAACTGGGTGCTGTAAGGTCTACAGCTAAGTCACCAGTGGCTTGGCGTCAGAACGGTGAGACTCGAAAATTGAATCAGACTCCGACCCAACAGATAGGTAGTACAGTTCCGTTTAGGGGTACGACGCCTTCTCTTAGATCTAACAAGTCTGTTCAGCCCAGCATGTCTACAAACCCCGCAGCTCCAATTATATCCCCGAATAATTCTCTGTCCTGCGTACCGATTACTTATCAAAGCCCTACTATATATCCAGCAAATAATTCATACATGAATTGCCCTAAATCATTCATGCCCCAACCTATTTCACGATTCCCACCACTTAAGGCCAATTGCTCTCAGGTACGTCAGCCTATCTCCTTTGACTTCCAATCTAGACCTGGTTTCCCACCATTTCATACTTTTAGTGGCCTACCCCCACCCATTAGCCCCTACTTTCCTTCTAGCCTCCCTCCTCCTCCTCCCCTTCCTCCATTATTTAACTACCAACAAGTCTATCCATGTTCTAACTCCCCTAGCATTCCAATGTTTGAAAACTATATCCCCACCTCCTTTAGGTCTCATACTCAGCCTTCTCTTGCTGACTCCCCGTACGTCAATAACTCTAAATTAACTGGTACTTATTCTCCAAGTGTCATTAATTCGCAGCTTACATATCCGCCTCCATTTTTTTTTTAAATACCGTCGAACATAGCATTGCCGTTCGAAACACATTAGATATTATATTATTGAATGCCAGGTCTGTTATAAACAAGATGGCCCAAATCAGAGCCATTGCTCTGGAAATGACGCCTGATATTATATGTGTAACAGAATCTTGGACACATTCTCTAATTCCTGACTCTGCCCTTCTCATAGATGACTTCGATTTTTACCGCCAAGACCGCACGACTAGGCGTGGGGGCGGTTGTCTTCTTTATCTTAAATCCTACCTAAAGCACTCTCCCTATTACCTGGATGTTTACTCATTCACGGGAAACTTCTGCTTTGCATCTGTTATTCTCTCGCCGCAAAGAAAGGCAATTATTGGCTGTATCTACAATCCCCCTAATTCTTTAGCCAGTGATGACTCACAACTCTGTGAAATCTTTAAATTAATTTCGGAAGCAGCTTTTGATGTTAAAATAATCACTGGGGATTTTAACCTTCCTGAAATTGACTGGGTTTCCAATAGCCGCCCACCCAGATTCCAGCCCTTTCAAAATATTGTCAATTTTTCTAATTGGTCCCAACTG